TCATCTAAGACATTCTCCATAAAATTAACCCAGTAAATTAACCCTCCAGTACATTAACCCATTCTCCAGTAAAGTAACCCTCACAACCCCCTCCTCCTCTGTGTCCTAACACTCAAGCCAGAGGGACATCGCATGCATTTGTTTATATGTGTGCGCACACTCCATGAGTTGGTTGAAGTAGAATGTGTCCTTCTGTCACTTTTGTGACAGAGTCTTGCGCGCGCTGGTGCTCCATTCTCTGGGATAAATGCAGTGTCCTTGGGACAGCCGTGGGGAGGCTTCTCTTCATGAATGAGGCTCAATTTCAGCGTAGCCCTTTGTGTTCAAATCATCCCTGACTCCACCCCTCAACCCACATCACTAGTTCATCACTGAGCTCACTCCCCCATCCCAACAGGGACAAGGGAAGGCAGAGGGCTGTGGTAGAAATTGAGGAAGTTAGGGTGTGAGAGCTCTGGCTGCAGAAGATCTTAGTTTGGTTTGAGGACTCCCCTGAGTCCCACTCTGACCTCACCCCAATAGCCACTTCCCCATTAAAGGTGAAAAATAGCCTTAGAACTTCAACTCCACACCCTCTCCCTGTGAGAGGATGAACTCCAAGCGACCACAGTCCTAGGATGTGGGGAGACGGAGGAGGCCTGTACAGGACACGTGATAGAGACAGGCAATGGTGTCAAATCTGTGAGTTAACAGGTGAAAGTAGCACAGAAAATTCTGAGTGATGCACTAAAGACTCTAAGCAGTAGCAACCTGTACTGGGTGGTTTGAAGGACAAAAGAAACACAGGAGGCAGGAGGACTCAGGTATGGGTGGGAAAGAGCTTGGTGGATCCATGTGGGGACAAGAACCTGAGTTTAACCCCAGGGAGGGTCTGCAACCCCCAAGGCTGGGTGAGGTAGGCAGGTAATGGGGGAAGACAGGCTGCTATTGGAGACCTTCCAGGACCACCCGGTGAGGAGGATGGGCCTCTGTGGACACCTGCTATTCCTGGCCCAGCAGGATACAAGCTCCCGATCCCTTATTGGACCCCATGATGGGGATGGGAAAAGCAGGAAGTGTTTTGGTGAGTGTGGGCAGTGGAGGACGTTTTCAGAAACAGTGTCAGGATGAAATTCTGGCGGATGGCCTTGAATTAGTATCTGAAACTTTCCATGTACCAATTTATAGGAATATGAAGCAGGAACACAACCTGATGTGGTGGACAAAGGTGAGATGCTCAGGTGGCCTGAGCTTGCACATGCTGAGGACTCACCAGGGGCCCCCACTTGAGGTGTTAGGGCAACTTCCCTGAGGTCAGCAAAGGCAGGAGCCGGGGTATCAGAGACAAGAGCCCCTTCCCAGTCTCCACCCTCTCATGTCCCTGTGGTCTCCTCGGGTGGAAATGAAGACTGAGACGCTGGCTGGATGGCTGGGTGACCAAGAGATGTGAGAATCAAGACCAGGGAGACCCAATCACCACTGGCTTCTACAACCATCTGCTTAACTGGGAGAGGCGATATCAGAAGCCTCGAGGAATCTGAGCCTCCAGCAGAAAGAGGAAAAATAGAAATTCTGGCCTCACCGCTCCAAAGCTTTTTCCAAAGAGGAGTTCCCCTGATTGACAAAAGCTCTTGGGGTCCAATGGAGTGAAAGGATTAGAAAGCGCCCCTGATGACACAAGGCAGCAGCTGTCTTCCACAGCTTTCTCTGTGTGCTCAGAAGGAGAAGGAAATGCTGAGTCATTTAAGAAAAGCAGACATGATGGTGAATGCTGGATGAGCATAGAGTTTGACAGGGGCGGGGCAGAGCATGGTGTGTGTGTGTGTGTGTAGGGGGTGAGGGCACGCGACAAGAATGGACACTAATCACCTATCAGGATATATAGCCCAGGTCATGTTTCTGGCTCTTCTGTGGTAGCAGAAGAGGAAGCAGGAAGATAAACTGGGTTTCGACCATCTGCAGCCACCTCCAGGGCCAGTGAGAATGGAGCTTCGGGCTCAGAGTCAGCCTTCCCGGCTGCAACAGGAATCCTAGAGGTCGCTTCCCCCGACCCTGCAAATTTCCTGAAGCATCATCATTCTTTTTCCTTCTGGGCCACAAGCTTTCCCTTCCTCTGCCTCCAACCCTTCCTGGCCCCCCACCTTTTCTCAACTCCACTCTGGCTTCGGATTCCTTCCTTCTGAAGGCCTCAGATTGCCGGCCCAAGTACACTCGTCTGAATTCAATCTGGGCGAACGGCAGTCAACCGTCCTCTATCAACAAGTTTTCTATTAGATTCTATCCTAATGCAAGAAGCCTCAGGAAACCAGTGTGGAGAGGCCCTGAGGGCTCAATTTCTGCCCGAGGGCTGCCTGGCGGGGAGGCCTGGTCTGTCTCTGCTGCCCCCTGCCGGCAGGCGGAGGTTCCCAGCGGGCAATGTTGGCTTGTGTCTTTGACTCACTCACTGTCACGCTGCGCTGCAGCCGCCCTCAGACCAGCCTTTATGAAAACCACAGAAAGGTGCTGATCGCTGGGTGTTTATAACACGGCCCGCTGATACGCACGGCATGCTCGTCATTTCAGAAAGAACATGAAGGAATATTAGCAGTGACTATCCCTCCATGTTAGTGCTTCACAGGGGACTATTATTCACAGCAAACATTATTTTCCTAATAAATAAAAGATACCAGAGTGGGGCCTCCCCGGTGGCGCCGCGGTTGAGCAGTGGGTTGCTAAGCTGCCTGCAGCCTCTGCAGCGCCGGTTCGATCCCCGGCTGCTCCCCGGCCACTGGAGGAGGGTCCCACATGGCACGCAGACCTGTCCTGCCGCCCGCTGCTCCCCTCAGCAGTGTACTTTGGTCCTTCTGCCTGTTCTGCTCCCCGCTCTGGCTCTGGTGAATTCTCTCACCCTCCCGCGCTTCTGTCTGTACCCAGTGCTTGTATAAACAAACAAACAAACAAACAAACAAACAAACAAATAAATAAATAAATAAAACATGCCTCTTAAAAAAAAAAAAAAAGATACCAGAGTGGAGGCCGAGGCTCTGTGTGACTGGACAGTGGTGACACCCTGGGGCCCGGGGGCTCTGCCCATTCCGGCCATGACAGCCTGTGAGATGTCTTCTCTCTCTGACTGTCTAACAGCTTCTGCCCCAGACCACCCAGGGCGTTGTCATGACAGATACCATGATCTGTGTATATGAACCCACACTAGTCCCAGTGGGGTGCCCCTGGGCATGGAACACACACTAGCCCTGTGGGCACCTCCTGGACTTGAGCACAGAGGCTGGTCCTGCTGCTGAGCAGGTGCCTGCTGCAGTGGGAGTGGACTTCAGGGGACGGAACTTCTTAACTTGAACAGTTGACATCTCTCTGGAATGGCTGACTCCACATTTGACTGTCCTACGCGTGTGTTGTTCTGTTTGTTTGTTTGCTTGCTTGCCTCTTTGTTTGCTTTTTCATCTGCACTCGTTGAGTTTATTGAGGAAAGAAAAAAAAGGAAAGAGAGAGGCCTGCATAGACTCAGGTGGGCATGAAGGCTGTCTGCTGTTCTGTTTGTAAAACACTGATGAGCCAATAAGGACAAATGGGAACCTGAAGTAGGTAAGTAACAACTGAAAAGCTTAGATATTTGTTTCATTTCAAAATCAGGAAGTACAAGTAATTTTAGAGAATAAGAATGTGGATTTCGGCAGCATCTACAGTTTTACTTAGTGTATAAAAAATGCAAAGAAGCCCTTCCTGGTGGCGCAAGGGGGTAAGTCTCAGCACTATGAAGCTGTCCACAGCCACTGCAGCACCAGTTCGATCCCCAGCTAGGGAGCTGACCCACAGGGCGCAGCAGACCTCTCCTGTCTCCCCGCTGCTCCCCTCAGCTGTGTATTTCAGTCAGTCTGCCTGTTCTGTTCCCCACTCTGTCTCTGGTGAATCCTCTCACCCCCGAACCTCTGGCCTGTACCCTAATTGTTATATGCGTAAATAAATTAAATGAATCTTTAAAAATATATAAACAGCACATTGGAGGATTTTATTCCATAACAAAACAACTTTTGAATGACTTAGGCACACATTTCAGGCCTGGTCTGGTGAGCGGGCCCTGCTCTTTGGCCTTATTTCCACCTGCCACATGACCGAGGCGGCAGAGGAGGTGCCTGGACTGCAGCGCATGGCCCACCCCTGCCAGGGACCCTGGCCTTGACCTCAGGGAAGGCAGGCGGACACCTGACTGAGGGGACTGGGATGAGACCTCAGCGTGGCCCAGCTCAGGGTCTTCCAAGACCTGCCGCTGAACCTCTTTCCTTCCAGTAGCGTTTACTGTTTTACAGCTGAGCAAACTCATGCTGGGAGTTTAAGAAACAGGTGCACTCCAAATGCCTGTCTCCACTTGTACAGGGAGAAGCATCACTTCTCCCCCACCTGGGGTGATGAGTGTGGTTCTGGGAGTTGGCCTTGAGGTGAGCCAGGGATGCCCAGTGTCCTCAAGGCCCATCCCCTGCCCCTGGTCCTGCCTGATCTCCCTCTGCCTTCCTCCTGTTCTCCCAGTCACGTGTCCACAGCACCCAGCCTCATGGGTTGAGTCAACCAGGGTGCCCCTCCCAGGGACTCAACCCAGATTCCTGGCCCCACACCTGTGCATGGTGGTCTCTTCCCTCACCAGCTCACAGGGACCCACTATGCTCTTCCCACTCAAACCTGAGTCTCCCCAACTGCTGTGTTTCATCTCTAAACCACACACAAAGGCCCTGGCTGGGTAGAGACTCCAATGAATGAGTGAGAACCTCCTCATCTCCATGATGCCTGCTAATTCAGTTTGCTGCTACCACACATCCCTGTCCTGTAGAGACAGGCCCTGCGCCCGGGACAGGCCTCCTCCACCCGCCCACGTGCACGGTCAGGAGGGGGTGTTGGCAGCGGGGGCTGGTCCTGCCTGGACGGTGAATGTCTGCGGGAGGAGAGCTTCACCCAATTTCCTCACCTAACAGGAAAGGGCTCAAGCTCCTGGGGCAAGTGCTGCTGAGCTGGTGTTCTTTCTTCCTTTATTTTTTTGACAGTTGTAGGTAAATTTTATTTTACAAATTACATTTGTTCACTAACAGTTTTCCTTTTTTTATTAATTTATTTTTTACATCATTGTTCATTTTTAAACAACATTTGCCTCCCCCGCCTCAGGTGTAGTCCCCATAGAGTTTCTTTCACCAATGCACCCGTGCACCATCACCTCAGTCCCTGGGCTCCTCCCTTCCTCTCTCTATCCCTCTCCCTCCTCCTCCCCTGCAGGATGTCTCCAACCCACAAGCCAGAAAGTTGCTGACTGTGGCCTCCTCTGTGTCAGCCCCTCTCAGCAGGTGTCCCAAGTTGCTGCAGGACTGAAGCTCCAGGGAGTCAGGACAAGGGGCTGGAGATGGAGAGGTGGCCAAGGAGGGCCACACTTTCCGGTGCTCCCTACAGTATGTCTGCATCAGAAAAGAAACCCCAGTTTGTGCCAGTGGTTCAGGAAATCCTGGTTCCCTTCTCCTGAGTCTGTCCCTCCACAGCACCCCCATCCCCAAGCCCGCTGTCTCTGGGCTGCAGCCTGTGGTGCCTCCTCCCTCCTGTCCACAGCAGAGCCAGCCCCAGGTTCAGTGAACTGCCTGCGCCTGCTCCCGAGGTCAGACTGGGAGGCCCTGAGAGGGCGGCCTGGCTGCTGCTCCCTCCAGCCTTGGAGGCTGTAGGTTAAGAGCCTCTTCCCTGGCTCTCAGCCTCATCTCACACTGGAGGGTACACACAGGCTCTAAGGGTCCCACATTCCTTCTGTCCCATCCAGCCCAGCTGTCAGCATCCCCTCACAACAGCACAGCCCCCGTCCCCTGTTCCCCTCTGCTCAAGACAGGGCACCTGGCTGGGGGCCTGGGGTCTGCGGGAGACTGGCTGCCAGGTGATGGCACAGCGCTGAGCCAGGATCCCTGGGGCTCCTCAGAGTTGGGGCCCTTCTGACCTGCTCTGCCACCATCTCTGCTGTCCCTCCCACCACCTGCACCAGCCAAGCTGCTGTCTGCGGGGCTGCCGCTGGATCTCCAGACTGCTGAGTCTGTCTGCGAGGTCTCCTCACCCACTTTCCTGGGATTTGACCCAGTCCCTCTGCACTAAGCCCCTGAAGGGAGCCTCCTTCCCCTTGACACATCATCTAGGGACCCCATGCCGCTGTGTGGTGAGCCCAGCAAAGCCTTGTACGACCAGGACCTGTGTGCCTGCTGCCCCCTCCACCCACCAGGGGCCCCGCCCCAACAGATGTCTGACCCCAGTCAGGAGGGACTCGCTAAACCCTCAGAACATCCACAGGCCCTAAGCCTTGGCGGCCTCTTCCCACCACGGGCTTTACAGCGAGGGGGCTCAGCACTCGGGGCTGAGCTTGTCCAAGTTCTTGCTCAAGTGACACGAGCCCTTCCTGCCTAGTCTCCTTTCCACCATGAGCAGGGGCAGGAGGGGAGGGGCCCGAATGGGAATTCCATGCCCTCCTCACACCCGGGCCCCCTCCCGTCCCCTCATCCTGCACAAGGTACCTTCCATATTATAACGCCTATGATGCCAGGCGGGATGGTGCAGGCGAGGATGATCCCAAAGACGAACCAGGGTCCCTGCATGACACTCGTGGTTGCAGACCTGCCTAGGGTGGTGCTCAGTGGTGCTGAAATGGAAAATCACAGTGAAACCCGGGTCCAGACCCCATAAAGGGGAATCCCCTGAGCCTCTGCCACCCCAGGTATCCCCAAATGCAGAAACTTTCTTCGCTCTGGCAGCCCCTCCAGCACATCCTGGATGTACAGACAGAGAAGGTCCTGCCCCCAGGGGCACAGCGCTCAGGGGGAGCGAGGAGGCTCACTAACCAGTCTCTCCTGCAGGGACAGAGGAGCAGGGGCGGGAGGAGGGTGACAGAGACGCCTCTCAGGAGCTGGTGCTGAGGTGGACGGAAGACTTTCCAGATGCAGACCAGGCGAGAGGAGAACAGAGATGCTGAGAAGGAGAGCAGTGGGAGAAAGGTCTGGAAACAGAAAGAGGCCCCATGTTTGGATCAGCAAAGAGTCCATGGAGTGAAGAAAGGTGTTGCAGAGAGGAAGAGGCGTCAGGAGGGGCCAGGGCACAGGCAGGAGGCAGAGCACAGCTGTGTCCTAGCCACTGTCTCCCGAGAAGAACTCAGGGGGGCGGCGCACTCCCCAACATGCGTGCACACAACACACACAACACACGTTCACACGCACACGAACACACGAACACATCCATCTAAGAAACCCACCACTCCTCCCCACTGCCTTGTTACCTGTGGTCCCCGGCGTTTCCCAGTGCGCTGCAACCTCCTGCAGCCACGTCCTCCAGTCTCCCCGGGACATCCTCCAGAGAGTGGCATTCATGTCTCTGTCCTCCTTCCACGTCTCCAGCATCCACCTGTCTCCAGGACGCTCCGCCGTCCAGTGGCCGGTCACCAAGTCCAAACGCAGGGAGATGCGTCCACTGATGACAAGCTGCCAGGATCCTCGGCTGCGCCCACTGGCCTCCTCCTGAATCACCATCGAGGCCTGCAGAGAGAGGGGCCCTGCCCGGGGAGAAGGCTCATTCTCTGCCCCTGGTGCCCACAGCACTGGTCCCGCCTCCCTGCCCTGCTCTGCCCTCCGTGTCCTCCCTGCCTGCTGCGACAGGAGACTTTTACTTAAACACGCCAGCGCCCTGACCTACACGTGTCCCCGCTCTCCCTGGGCCTCAGACTCACCGCTGCCTCGGGAATCCTCGGGTTCAATGTCAAGAAGCTTCTCGTTGAACTTTTCCGCCAGGTCTTTCAGATTTCCTCTCAGGTCCTCCCTGAGTGCAGCCTCCACCTTCATGCCCTGAACACAGACGGCCGTGACCGCGTGGCTCTGGCAGTCATAGGAAAAACAGCGCTCCCCATACACCTGCACTTCAGCCTCACACCATGGCTGCGTCTTGGGAGTGATGGTGATGTTAACGCTCAGAGAGTCTGCAGATGAGAAGGAAAAACCCAGGTGAGGGTAGGACTGAAAGAAGAGGCCTTCACGCAGCCTCCCCCATGTCTGAGACACAGGCGGTTCCCTGAAGGGCTGGGGGCGCTCACAAAGCAGAGACTGTCCTGTCCACCCTCACTCTCAGCTGTGCAAGGCAGTGCCCCTCCCTGCTCATGGGAGAGGAGGCGTCTGCCTGGAGAGAAACCACATGTCCTGGAAACACCTCTGTGACCACCAGCCTCTCTCAGCACCTGCCCATGACCTTCCCAGGTTACACAGGTGGCTAAGGGAGGAAAGGTCTAGATGCCAGAGCATTGTCAGAATGTGGCCAGTGTTCCCAGGGGGGTGGAGAGAGCAGGGGCTGCTCCTGAGGGGGCGGGTCCAGCAGGGAGGGGGTGGAGGCAGGAGCAGAGGGAGTAGGATGTGGGCAGAGGACTCAGCACAGCCCCTGGGGGTGGTGCTGACCTTGGAGGGGGACCAGCCTTGAAGCTTGGAGAGAGGGAAGCCCCACTGCAGGGGCAGGAGATCAGGCACTAGGAGAGGAGGGACTGAAGGGCGCAGAGAAGAGCATGTTGGGATGGATATGCAGGAAAAGCAGAAACTGTGCCCCAACTCTGCTCCAGGGGAGGGTCTGGAGGTCGCTGTTGTCAGCCTGTAAGAATCAGGAGAGGAGCAACCCGCTTCATGCAGCTCAGAGAGGGTGTCCCTGGCGGCCAGGCTGTAGTTGCCAGTGGGGTCCAGAAATGGCCTCCCAGATTAGTGCGGGTAAAAGTCCTGGACTAGCAGGTTGGAGGAACAGGCGCTCAACCGTCAGAAGAGGGACGCTGTGAAGAGTGAAGTGACCAGAAAGGCTGGAAAGTCAGCAGCGGCCTGACCCCAAAACCTTTCCCATCAGCTCAAGAAACACGGTGATTCTGGAGACAATACCCAGGGACAGTCCCCCGGGGACTCGGGACAGAAATACAAATCATGGGACCAAGCACAGGAGGGGGCCTTGGGAGGTGCATGAGGCTCCCCCTGAAAGGCTGGACCCCGTGCAGGCCCCGTGCCCCCGTCCACACTGAGCCGCTCCTCAGACCAGGAAGCCATCACTAGGACGAGAGGCCGGTTCCAGCAGAGGGAGGGGCCGCACGTTCCCTGGGTTTGTAACAGGAAATAGTCATATTTATACCTCATGAATTTACTTGTGGGTTAAATCCTACATCTTAGGGAAATTCAAGCACAATCTCCTTACACCGACCTTTTTCCCCCAAAAAAGGTTAAAGCGCAAGGACAGAGGGGAGCACCAACCTGAAACCTCTCTGAGGGTGCACTGGGGCCCCTTCCTATCTCCATCTAATGCCAGGCTCTCCTGTGGGTATTCCTGTAAATGGCAAATGTTTAATGTGTCAGGTTTGGCAAACCCCAGATCTCTGTTGCAACCACCAGCTGTTCGCAGTCACGGAGGTACTGTGGCCAACAAGCCCCAGGGCCACACAACCCGCAGAAGCTGTTGGGTGGGAAGGCTGCTGCGTGGGCTTCATGGCGTCCTAACTGAAGTGTCACGACTCAGACCCTCAGTTAAGGTACAAGTCCTGCCACTTGCAGCAGGGGATCCACAGCATTTGAAGAGCCCCTGGAGAAGCACCAGAGCTGGCAGAGAGGAGGCCCCTGGCCATGGGGTGCACAGTCCTCATCCGAGTGTCAGGAGGTCAGGCAGGCCCAGAGCTCATGACAGAAGTGACTCTGGCATTGGCATGAGCAGGCCCACAGGGAACAAATAAGGCACACAAGCAGGCATCCCAGACCCAGCAGCAGACATGCTGAGCACCCAGCTCAGCTCCCTCCTGCGACTTCCTGCTGAGTCACTCAGGGTGCAGGGGGCCAGGAACCCTCCACAGAAAGGAGAGGCAGTGGCTGAGGACCCCATGATCCCCCCTGCCAACCTGGCAGGGTCCCTGCAGTCAGAAGCCCCAGGCAGCCTGTGGAAGGATCTTAGAGGAAGGACCTGCCCCTGAGGTCAGCACCCCAGGAGGAGGCCAGGTCCGGTCTCTGGGCCTTTGCAGGTTGTCCTGGGGCCTCTGCTCTGCAAGGTATGGGGGCAGCTGGGGTGCACACTGAGTGGCCCCTGACATGCAGACAGCACACCTTCCCCACAGAGAAGGGTGGGGATTCCGCGCCCCTCCTCGACCCTCGGGTGAGGCTGTCCCCTGTATGAATACTTGTTACTGGGCCAAAGGGTGGAACTGGGGTGTCCTTCCTCACCCTTACTCCCAGGGCAGTATCTGGGAAACTGCTCCTGCCCTCCCTGTCCTGGGCCCAGAGCTTTTCCTGGGTGTGTCCTGGGCCAGGGAACAAGCTGTGTGTCCTCTCCTGGAGCAGGAGGTGAGTTTAAAAAACAGGAAGGATTTGGAAGCGCTGGGGTTGAAGGGGAGGAGGAGAGAAGAAGAATAAAGCAGCAAAAGGAGCAGCCAGGAGAGATGTGTGGGAGGAAGTGGCTGGAAGGAGTCTCTGTCAAGGGAGCAGGTGGGCTGCCAGTGCCAGTGTAGTGGCCAAAGCGGCGGGAGGGTCAAGAGTGTAGGGCAGTGGGGATGAAGGAGTTTTCCAGAGCACAGAAATGTTAAGAGGTTGTCTAGGTGTGGGGGGGGCAAGGAAGGGGAGCAGAATCTTACCCTTGCTGGAAACTCCCCCCCCTAACCCCTGGAACCTGCCCCTCTACGGTCTGGAGGTGGGGGGGGGTGGGTTATGCACTTCAGGATAACTTACTACCCACCCTGTCTCCTCCCCTCCCCCTCCTACTCTCCCCTACTACTACCCCCCCAGCCTCTTTTCAGGCCCCCTCCTAGCCTCAAGCAACTACTGGTCCCCCAGGTCCCTGGAGGAGATCTGCCAGCGCAGTGCAAGGGCGGGCGCGGCTTGGTGCCGCCACCACCTGCTCTGTTGCTGAGCCCAGGGGGGCTCTCCCCCCTCCCCACCCCGCCTCTGTGCCCCTTCGTCCCCGCTCTCACCCCGCCCAAGCCCTATTGCCTTCCACGCCTCACCTCTTCGCAAAGGCAGGGGCGCTGCCGCTGCCAGCAGGCCCAGCTGGAGACCCAGGAGACCCCACGCGCAGCTCCCGGGGCGCGCCATGGCGACCCGCAGCCGGACCCAGGCAGGGCCAGAGCGCCTCCCCCAGACCCAGGCCAAAAGGCGGCGGCCGGATTCTGAGTCCAGGCTTAGCCTCCCGCTTCACGGAGACGGTAGCGCTTCCTCTCGCTGTCTCCTCCCCTCCCCTCGCGGTCTCCTCCCAGTCACCCGCTGCGGGATCATTTCCAAACCCACCTTCACACCCGTTCCTTCTTACGGTAAGAACGCGAGAACTTCCAGTTAAAAACAACTCAGGGATGTTATCACAGCTTGGCGTGTAGAGTTAAAAATATAGGGCCTCCCTGGTGGCCTAGGGGTTAGGTCTCAGCGCTATCCCTATCACCCATCACCCCTAAAGCTTGAGTTCCATCCCTCTGACTCACATAGGGCACAGCAGACCTCTCCTGGCTCCCCTGCTGCCCCCCTCAGCAGTTGTACTTCAGTAGATCCGCCTGTTCCGTTGCCCACTCTGACTCTGGTGCAGCCTCTCATGCCCCCTCCTCTGGTGTACACCCCAGTTCTTGTATGCAAGATAATGGGTATTATTTAATTAACTGCTTCCTGCTGTTTAATGGGTGAAACTGGTCAACTAAAGAAAAAACTTTAAATTTTCTTTCCAAGCAGAGGAAGTCACAGGAGGCCGCCGAGCTATATAGAGAGGATCTAGGAATTATGCACTAAGGAATATCTGCACAGAAATTACAGTAAATTAGGAAGTAGAGAGAAACTTCTATTTCAAGGATGAAGCATAATATAACAAAAAGTAATTTTTTTCCCTCCAAGTCCCAAATCCCTCTCCCCAAGAATTTAACCAGTCTTTGAAAGACGGAGTGGCATCTGATAAACACGGCACCTGAAGTTGCACATCTCTTACTAGGTGGGGCATATTTGAGGAGTGGTCAGGAATACAGACTCAGCATTCGGTGTGTTATTCACTCAATTCATTATTGGGCCAGTGCCTATCTCTGCTCAGAGTCAGTTTTGTATAACAGCTTTTCTCATAGTTTGAGTTTAGTGTTTGCTAGAGAGATTTCCTTGAGTGAGTCTCTTAAAGCCAGTTTAATAAAGTTTGTAAGGACTTCCATGTGTCAAACTGCACGTCATTTCCTCAGGGAGGGAGGGAAACAAAAGCTAGATGATCATGCCGGTGGAAAACTGATCTAGTCAAGGGTGTATAAGGTGAGGGTGATGGGTGGGTTGATAGGTTTTTAAATAGTAGCCGGTAGCCAAAGGAGTCCTATTGCATGCCACCCAATCCAGTCTGGAGGAGGCCATAGAAAGCCATTTGGAGCCAACAATGGTATGCCAGGTCAACTAGCAAAATCAGTAGCAAACCAATGAGAAGGTTTCAGGGTTATGACATGGGAATGAATTTCACTGGGAATCAACCTATTTTCCAGGGCTGTCTGACCAAGAAGAATGCAAATGTGATATTTGATCCAGCAAAGGGAGCTATTTTGAGTCCAATCTGTCTCTTGTAAGGGCAACACCTTCCCAAAGTACCCCGAAATGCTGGAGTAGGGCATAAGGCCACAAATCCAGAAAGAGGTTTGATTTGCTGCCTTTGCATAAGGTTGAGGCCATCAGAGAAAAGTTTAGTCCCCCAGTTTCATCGGGGACAAAAAGAGTATCATGAAAAGCTCACTGTCAGGATGGGTGTGATCTCTGCCTGGCGGAAGGGTGGTGAGCTTTAAAATTAAGTCAGAAGTGAGCACTACAGTCCATTCTCATAAGTGGTGGTTTTCACCTGAGTATGATGAACACAAGGTTTTATTCCTGCTAATTTTAGGGCAGAGTGGGTGACGGGAAGGAAAGCATAGGGCCCACATTTTCGGAAGCACATAATCACCAAGAGAGTAGTTATTCAAGTGGATGTTGTTTGGCTACTAGAGCCTTTTGGAAGCAAACTTTTACAAATTAGTTAGATATTTAAAATTTAGTATCCAGTCCAATTTGCAGGTAAAAAATATATAGAGAGAATATACTAAAAAGAAACTGAAAATGATATCCAAAAATATTACTGAAAAATAATTTCTCTCCACCCTTGTTTTAATTCTACCAAATGATTACAAGAACACTTATTTGCCAATTAAAGTCTAGATTTAGTAAATTTATCTAATTCTTTTGCATATGCACAAGAAAAATAAAATATAACTGTACACTTCTCAAACTGACTTTGCTGGGAACCCCACAAGGAAGCTCAGTTTGAATTCTTAACAGTCTGCTTCTCAGGGCAGGGAAACATGCCAAGGTCTTACCACTAGACTTTGCCTATAATACCTGTGTCTGTAAATACAAGTGAAGTTCTTATCAGTTTAAAATAGGTTGTCATAACTTTAAGATGTTTTATGTAATTGCAATGATTACCACAAACAATATCCATACCATACACAAAATCAAAATGAGAAGTAAATGAAAACATGATCACAAAAAAAAAATCAACAAACCATAGAAGGCAATAAGAGAGGACAGTAGTGACAAAAAAGCTAGAAGAAATACAAATACTGGGCCTCCCCGGTGGCGCAGCGATTGAGCGCTGGGTTGCGAAGCTGCCTATGGCCTCTGCAGCGCAGGTTCGATCCCTGGCCACCTGGTGAGGGTCCCACATGGCGTGACAGACCTCTCTGCTCTCCTCAGCTGTGCATTTCATAAGTCTGCCTCTTCTGCTCCCCACTCTCTCTGGTGAATCCTCTCACCCTCCCGTGACTCTGGCTTGTACCCCGGTTCTTGTATAAATAAATAAATCTTTTAAAAAAAAAAAGTAAATGTAAAGCCCAATCTATTTGATTATACATCTATGAATTCATTTTAAGAAAATGATGAGAAATATATACAGAAGTTTAAATACAAGGACATTTATTATAACATTATTATAAAATAAATTATGCTTTATCTATAGGATGTCAATTACACAGTTAGTATTGATGCATGAGCCAAAGTGCTAAATGGTAGGATTGTGCTATTTGTAAATATTTCAATGGAAAATGAAGTTAGTTAATATGTATGCCAAACAGGGAAGAGGGTAGCCTTGGAAAATAAAAGTAAAATAGAACTTTCTGTTTGTTTCTGTTGTTCAGATTTTTTTTCAATTAGCATGTACTTCTTAAACAATTTTTAAAAATGCATGGTAAACTGAGTGAGAGAGAATATATGCACACCGTGCATCTGACAAGGAGCTGATATTAAAGCTCCACAAAGAACTCATACAACTCAACAAAAACAAAACAAATAACCAAACCAAAAAATGGGCAGAAGAGTTAAATAGGTACTTCTCCAAAGAAGATAAGAAGATGGTCAACAGGCACATGAAAAAGTGTTCATCATCCCTTATTGTTAGGATAATGCAAATCAAAACCACAACATGATTCCACCTCACTCTAGTGAGAATGGTCCATATCAAAGAGACACCTGAAGCAAGTGCTGGAGAGAATGTGGAGAAAAATGGAAACTCTTAATGGGTAGAGGGAATGCAGACTTGTCCTATACCTATAGAAAACAGTGTGGCAGTTCCTAAAAAGATTAAAAGTGGATCTGCCATATGACCCAGCAATTTCATCTTAGCCATTAACCCAAAGAAAATAAAAGCACTAATTCAAACGGAAACTTGCGCTCCCAGGCTCGTTTACATTGAAGAAGCTATGGTGACAACCTAAGTGTCCAAATACAAGTGAGTGGATCAGAATGATGTGGTATTTATACACAATGGAATAATACTCAGCTATAAAAAATTACAAATTCATGCCATTTGCATCAACATGGATGGAGCTGGAAGCATTATGCTTAGCAAAATAAAACGGAAAGAGAAGGACAAATACCAAATTGAGTCACTTACAGGTGGAATATAGAGATACCGAACAGAGAATCAGATAAAGCCAAAGTTAAAAACTAACCCTTGAAAGCTGAGTATAGAACCACAGAATCCAGAGGGGCAAGGGAAGGGATGAGAACAAAGTGGGAGGGAGCACAATGGACTATGGTGGTAGAAGACAGGTACTTTGGTAGTGGGTGCACTGAGTGATAACACCTGGTGGGGGGAGTTCTATACTCCCCAAATACAGAGAATAATGCATACCAACATTACCTCAATAATAAAAATATTTTTTAATAAAATAAGAGAAAAAATATAAAAAGAAACCCATGCCCACCACACAAAAATTAAAATTAAAACTGGTGGCAAAAAATCAGATATGTGACCATCCTGCCATTTTGCTGGCTAACCAAGAAACCAAAATCCCAAGATAATGAACAGTCTTGGGAACATTTGCCAGCCGAATGTGAACACATTGAGGGGCATGCTTGCCCAAGTGGAGCTTTTCAATTTCTACTGCTGATTTCACAAGACAGTCCAGATAAACTGTGCTTGGGGCTAGTTCACTGGGAAATGAGCTGGTTAGGCAAGTGCCCTGCATGGAGAAACCTGAAGGGCATGTTTTCAAGGCTGCCCCGCCCCAGCACAGGCAGAGCCTTCCACTCCAGAAAGGATATTAAAAAAACAGAACAAAGCACAGTATTAGGAACAACAAAGACAAAAAGAAAACACCTTTTTTGTTTGTTATTTAACTTTTTATTATAGGAGGAAAATTGACCTGAGGCTCAAAAATAAAACCTAATGTTAATTATCAAACAATTTTCAATTGATAATTAGGTACCAAGACAAATCAATGTGGAAAAGTCTTTTCAACAAACGGCTATGAAAACTGGGTCACCACATGCAAAAGAATGAGGTTGACCCCTCCCTTTAACACTCAAAAATGAGCCCAAAATGGAACATAGACGTGCCTGTATGTCATAAAACTATGAGAATCTTAGAAGAAAACAGAGGAGTTACTTTTTTAGACTTTGGGCATGGCAAAACCTTCTTGAATACACCAATAATGCAAATAGAAAATGAAAGATATAGCTTACTTTGACTTCTTTTTTTTTTTTTAAAGATTTATCTTTATTTATTTATTCAAGCACTGGGTACAGTTAGAAGCGTGAGAGGGCGAGAGAATTCACCCAGAGCCAGAGCGGGAGCAGAACAGGCAGAAGGACCAAAGTACACTGCTGAGGGGAGCAGTGGGCAGCAGGAGAGGTCTGCGCGCCATGTGGGAC